TATGTGGCCCTTGCAATGGTCTGCTGTGACCAGCTGACTAGAAGCTTTTATATCCAGACGAGTCTGCTATCAACCAGCTGACCCCAGACAGAGGGATGGAAGTTTTGGCTGGTTTTGACGGATATCGAACCAGACTTTACCCCAGTACCATGCGCGCAATAGGCTGCTCTCATAGTCCGCGAGCGAGAACGCGAGCCGGCCGGGGGCTACTCGTCCGGCGGTATCGACCATGATTCATTTGTAAACAAGGGGCAAGCGCCGCCTCCGTCGCTCGCTCGCGGGGTAAATCGCAGACTATGAAAGCAGCCATAGTACTCGTCACTTGGCACGACACAACCTTCGTTGTTAAATATGTAACCATTAGCTAAAAAATAGGTTCGAATAGAATAAGAATAAATAATTTTGTATTCAGGGCATCAATCTCTCAGGAGGTCAAAAACAACGGGTTTCTCTAGCTAGGGCTCTGTACTCACATGCTGACATAATATTGCTCGACGATCCGCTCAGTGCTGTCGACTCGCACGTTGGAAGGCACATTTTCGAGAACGTCATTTGTAAGAAACTGATATAGTTAAGTAACTAGTAATATTTCACCGCCAATCTACTTGATTTTCAGCATCTTCTACCGGTATATTAGCACACAAGACACGCATACTTGTTACTCATGGCCTTCATTATTTGAAATACTGTGACAAGGTTATAGTCATGAAAGGTAATACTGAACCAGTTACTAATTACACGTTCGTTTTGTTACTAACTTTTCTTGATGACTAATTTTTTACATTTTTCCTACTTGTTAAGTGAATAAATGTTTTTAAGCTGGCGAAATCAGCGAAATGGGAACGTACCATGAACTGATTGCACGTCAGGGGGCTTTCAGCGAATTCCTCGAAGAATTCCTGGTCGAGGAGACGAAGAAAAGAGGTCGAAGTGTGAGCTTCGGGGACAATGGTAAGCTGGAACACTATTTTAATGTCTTCTTTTTGAGTGCTAATATTTCCGTCCGACCAACTAAGCGCTGCGCGACCGCGCGCGTGTTGTTTACACAGGTCGCACGATTCCTGTTTGCATGTAAATTGTGATACGATAAATGCGATGTGATGTGATTGTAATTGTGTGTGCTATATTATCACATTTATAAAGGAAGCTTCATGTTCAGCAGAGGATGTGTCTGAAATTCTTCTGGAAATGGAAAAAGTGAGTCCCGACCGGAGAAAGCGCATCGAATCCCAACTGAGTCAGGAAGCCCCAAATGTCCCCTCAGTTCATGAAAAGGTGATCAGACTCCGATTATCTAAACCGGAATAGTTTTTTTGTTACACCACGTCTCATCATTAATGTTTTCGGGTGGAAGTAACTTTCTAACCGTGGTAGCGTCTTTCCAAAAAGAAAAAAATGCGAATGCTTACAGAGCCCCAGTCCCATGAGGGAACCCTCGTCTCCAACTAGTAATGGCAACGTCCTTCCTACACAATCGGAAGAAGAACATCCAGTAGTGGTAGGAAAAGCCGAAGAAAAAGTCGCTCTTCTTGGAGAAGAAACCAAAACACCACAGAAGAGTAAGCTTGTCGAAAAAGAAGCAGTTGAAACGGGAAAAGTAAGTCAGGGTGGCGGTAAATTCAGTACTTTTTCAGTAATGAATTTTCAGTATACATATGTATTCAGGTGAAATGGTCTGTGTATTTAACATACATTCGAGCAATCGGTTTTGATCTCGCCGTGCTGTTCATTGTCGTCTACATTTTCAGCAGCGTCTTGGGGGTACGTGTCGTTTTTCTTGATGAAATGATTCTGGGAATTAGAAGTGTGGGATATTACCAAGTGTATGTGGGAAATTTGGATTGGGTGACGAAATTCAGCTGGGCTTTTCTAATTCTCAGTCTCTTCGACTGTACACATGTGTCCTACAAGTAATTGTCTTTATGAAACAAGTTCGACTTCTCTTTCGGAGAGCCAAAACTCTCAAGTGGCATACTCCATAAACTGCTTTCATAGTCCGCGATTTGGCCGCGAGCGAGCGAGCGACGGAGGCGGCGCCTGTCCCTTGTTTACAATTGGACTGAATCTTGGTCGATACCGCCGGACGAGTAGTCCCATGTCGCTCGCGGGCCAAATCGCGGACCATGAAAGCAGCCATAGGAAGGCAACTATCAACAAACTGAGATGTTCGAATTCTCACGGTATGGAGTCATAAATCCAAACGGGAAGCGCAAACTGACTTTTTTTTGAAGGGCGGGGGTTGAGTTGATTTAAGATAGAGCTTATTTATATAGGGTTACCATGAAACTCAGCTCTTGAACTCATTAAGACTCATTTAAGATACTATAAAAGCTCTACTCAGTAACAGGGTCAATTTAGGAATGCTCTCCTTTTCCATAAGGTATTTCGTTTAAGTTTGAAAAGGTACTGTACTACAAATGGTGCCGGTATCATACGGCACTCTTAAGATTAATTAATTGCCTCCATCCTTGTAATGCGGGTCAAGCCGGGCTGATCTCAGTCAGCTTTCTGATGCAACAATCGTGAATTCAAATGAAAAGTGTTAATGACTACCAAATTGGTTTTTCAGGTGGCCAGTAATTTATGGCTTGCAAAGTGGTCCGATGATGCCGAAATGATCCAAAAAACCAGTAATGGAAGCAGTTACGAAACGAATACTCGTCTAGCGATCTATGCTTCGTTGGGAGTTGGTCAAGGTCTGTTCATATGTTGCTGGAGCAGTTAACAATTGTTATAATTGGAAAATTGAACCATATAGACAATCAAGTAATCAAAATGCAATAGTAAACAATTGCCTTTGTGAATAATTGTTTCTTTACCTTATTTATTGATTTGTTTCTATAGTAATTTGTCAATATATACATATATTAGTAGAAAGGAGTTCGCGGGGGCGAAGGTCAATCCAACTGAAGAAAAAACATGCTTACCCTCACCCCAAATGCTTTTATTTCATTTACATAGTGAATACATATAATCGAAGAAGCATCAAGTAAATCCTAATTAAATATTACAAAGTAAATATAGTAAATGTTAACAATTGATGATACTTAATGCATTTGGACTAGAAGTAATAAAACGGAAAAGAGAACTCCAAGACACGTGTGATACATGAACGTAAATAAATATAGCAAATTAAACATTGAACTAGTTGCAGTGCGGAAAGCGGGGGTGGTGTAGTAGAAACGAAGTTGTCGCGTTGCGGCAAGTTAATGCCGCGCGCGAAGAAATGTGACAGAATGAAGGAGCAAGAAAGAAATACAGAACAGAAGAAATAACAGTAGAATCATGCCAAAAGTAATAATCGCATAGCGGTTAAGCCGTACAAATAACACTAGAATTTTTATGGCGAGGCAAAAGGTCCGTGACTAACCGTTCCTACTGCCCGTCTCCCCGGAAAGCTTCTGCAAATAAAAACTTTCTGAGCATTCTTTCCTGCCATGAGTGGAAGTGTAAACTTCAAAATAGTGTCTTTCTTTCAGCTCTATTCGTATGTGCCGCTTCGATTATTATGGCACTTGGAATGGTTGGAGCATCTCGATTGCTTCACGAAGGCATACTAAAGAATATTCTTCGATCACCGATGATCTTCTTTGATATCACCCCCATAGGACGTGTACTCAATCGTTTCGGCAAGGTACGACAAATGTTATTCAGAGATGTGTGCGAAAATTTTTACATTTTTTTGTGATTTTCCAATAGAGAATCCTAGAAACGCAATTTTGAATAATTTTTTATTTTGTCGGAATGGTTGGAAGGTGTCATTGCTCTTGACAATTTTTTCAGCAAACCTTTTATTACCGGTCTACTAGTAATGTCTTGTAACTTATCGGGAAATCCCTGAAAAGTGTACTTGTTACCTCCACCAGTCTAGTAGGCCCCGTCAATTCATATGAATGGCCATATCAGTCATGGCTCTCGGAGATGTGTGAATTTAGGTCCATTTTTGGATTCGTGACAGGGGACCGCGCATATACAGGAATTGGCTCATTTTGGGTCCTG